GGAGAGGTAGGACCAGGGATGTGGGGCTCGGTTCTGTGATTGGGGCAGACTGCGAGCAAGGGCTGTCAGAGCATCTGGGCAGTCACTATGTCCACATCACAGAGGCTGCCACCAGACAGAGGTGAGCTAGAAGCTCAGCCTTTGCCACTGGAGTTTGTAGCCAAGGGGTGGGCAGGACCTGTTGTCCCACCACAGATGGAGATTCCCCCAACAAGAGGAAACTGTTGGTTCAGACATAGTGACGTGAGTTCCTACTCTGAGAAACAGCAATGTAGACAGACCAGTGGCTCTGAAAAAATGGAACCTAAATCAAACATTTCATTTGGGCTGGCTTCATATAAAATACCACAGGTGAAAGGAGAATAAAGTAAGAAGGATTCAATCTTACATGATCTATGAGTTCTTTGACCATCCCATTCCACTCTCCTTTGTCATTCTGGGCTCCATATTTACCATCCGAAACTAGTTTGACCTCATAGATGAAGCCTAAAATATTTGAGAGCTCCTTCAGTAAGTCCAGGCAATAACCCTCGAATCTGTCATTTCCGTACAAGGGCTTGTCAGACTTCTTGTACATAACATAGGGATCTTCCTATAGAAAAAGACAGTAGACATGTAGCAATAGAAATGAGGTTTGTTTCAGATTAGATTGGTTTCTCTGAATTAGGTGAATATTTCCTAAACGGATTGCAATTAGATGGAAAACAGTAATTTACTGTGTCCATTAAAAGCTGTTTTAGGTGTGTTAACAAATTGACTGAATCAGTTAGTGATAAGCATAAGAGCTCTAATTTTCAGTGGAACAGACCATTCATAGCTCCCAGGGGCTTTAATTAAAATGGTGCTTAGCAGCTCCAAAATCAGATCCAAGATCTGTACTCTACATTGTCCCACCCTAAGGGACAGAAAGGGATGCTGAAGGAGAGAGAAGCCTAAATAATAGAAAAAGGATGACCTAAAACTGGATATTCTGTCAGAAATAGATCTGTATTAAAAAAAAAAAAAAATCTTCAAATGTATAAAATAGCTGTGAGTTGAGCAGGTATTCACATGAGAGAATGGAGAACAGCAGAGGGAGATTGCAAAGTACCTTGTTGCTTTTATTTCTAAAGGATTTTGGATAGAAGATCAGGGCAAGCAGGTTTCTGCTCTTTAATGTGGCAAAAGACCTCTGGCAACAGGAGTGTAGAGGGAGATTTTGAGCAGAATATTTGAGCAGATTTTGAGTATTTAGGCAGAATAATTGAAAAAAGTGGCATTACTGGCCAGGGAGAAAGCATGAGGTCGAACAACTGGTGAATACCCAGTTGCATATTTTCCACTTATCATAGTAAGGACAAACCCCAGTCTGTCTATTCACTGTTTGCTACTTTCTTTCATTTCTCTTCATCTCATTTTCAGTAAAAAGGAAGGCTGTATACGCACTGACTACAGGACTGAGTATTTGTGTGTGTTAATTCTTCTGGGAAAAAAAGTATGCAGGGTTTGTCTCTGAAATATTCAAGTACACTAAACAATTTTGGAGGCAGAGGTTCCCGAGAGTCTTTCATTGGCAGTGGGGTATTTTTAAATCATTCTTGTGGATAGATGAATTTGCATGTCAATTCTGGGTCTAAATCAAAGAAATTGCTTGAAAACAGACTAGTTTAACAAAACCTTGTTTAGTGTGGCAGAAAAGAGCCGTGGAGTGCAGGGCAGGGGTGGCAAAGGCGGCTGCGGGGAGCCCCACCACCCATCATCAGCAACGCCTGCATCCTACCGCGCGGCGAGCGGTGTTGCCTCCATGCAGCAAGTCTTACCAAAATGGTGGTGACAATAAGTGTCCGGTTAGCCAAGGAATCGGTGATGTTGGTCGATCGGTCCTTGTTGCTGTCCGTCATATTAAGGCCACTGTATGAATTCCAAACCCCAATCTGCGCAGAAGAGAGTGAGTGAGCTGCTGCCCGGTCACAGTGAGCTGAAACATTTCCGTATATGCTCACTGCCTAGGAAAAGTGCACTGGCTCTAGTCACCACAGAAAAAGGCACCAGCAGTACGAAATGCTAGAGGAGGGAAACAGCTGTAGGTCTGAGTAAGACAGCAACATCAAATGGCTGATTTAGAAAACACAGGGAACACATTGCCCTTTCAAAAGCAGGTGGAAATGAATAAGCTGTAAGACTGTAAGGCATGTCAATACAGTGGTGTATTAGCCAATTTGCTACAAAAGTGGAACATATTGAATTTGTTTCATGCTCAAAAATGTCAAATGTCTTTTTTAAATTTTTATTTTTTTAAATTTTCATTAATGGTAGAGTTGAAACATACGGCAAGATCCCTCTCCTCCAATACAACAGGTTAAAAGTTTGAATAGATATGTTGAAGCAGATTGATGGATGCACTGGCCTTTTGCTTTTGCTGTGCCTTCAGCAGGTTTAGCAAAGATTATTCTGTCATTTCTTGACTACTAGTTATGATAGAGCTAGAAATGTGATACCATTTCGCCCATTGATCAGTATTTGCTCAGTAAATACAAGTGGCCAAAAGCAAATTCCTTTCTAGTCCCAGAGGTATTGAAGAATTGTGGTATTTAAAGCCCAATCCCAAGCCTCAAGCAAAAAATCTTCATGACTTCAGTGGATTTCGATCTACAACCTGAGAGGGCAGAATTTACAACCAGGTTGATTAATTCAGATAATATTTACTTAACATAAACACAGTCTTAAAGCTTTTTTTTTTTTTGCCTTTGGATTTGCATACACAGCAGGGCTGATGTGAGAAAACCCCAGGCAAGGGGCCAGCTCAGGCAGTTTGGTTTGTATTGGACATTTGTGGAGAGCACCAGACGGATGGCTTGGGTGACTGACATCAGCCGTCTGTGGAGCTGTTCGCATCGCTGCGCTGCTCTGCCAGCATGTTTCAGCTCTACCCAAGAGGGATCAGCTCTCAGATCCTCCCTGCTGGGATCACCAGCGAAGCTGCCAAGTGAGTCTGAGACAACACCCGCTGGCTTGTCCATGTGTACTGAAGGTCTCTGCCTGCCGTCAGATGCTCAGTCATTTCAGACCCAGGCTGGACTCTTTCTCTTTGGTTGTTAACTGAGGCAGAGATGGCACTGCCTTTGTACCAAACCCAGCAGATCACTTTGTGACTGCTGAGTGTGGGTTTGGGGTAATAACTGTATAATTTCAAACAAACTTCGGGTTTGTGTCCCTGGGTGCCATTGCTTTTGCCTTTCACAAACATTTTTTCCAAAGTATGCCATTTTTTATAATTCTTTTTTCAAGCTTTTATGAGCCATTCCCTTGGTTTCCAAAACTAGATCAGGTTGGGAAACTGATCTGGGAAGTACATACGAAATAAAATGTTGGATATCATGATAACCTATGCCAGGAATATAGTAAATAACCAGTGTCCTTGAATTTGCACTGAAGTGGCTGAGTTAATCAAAAAGTTGTTCTGACCGTTGTTACTGACTTGATATGCTTTTATCAGCTGGCAGCACGAAAAAGGAGAACAACCATGAAAAACATGGAGTGACACAGTCACAGTGCATACAAAATACACCAGGAGACCACTCTATGTCTGGATAAAAGAATGACACCGCAGGTCAACCTTGATTAGAGCGATGGAGGAGGTCAGAGGGGCACTGGAAGAATGAGGTCAAGGTAGTACATCACTATGGTGAATCCAGGGGATTTATTGCAGTTTAGTGACAAGTTTGAGAGGTGTCATATGCCCTTCTCAGCAAGCCTGTGCTCTGAACCAATTGTAATTTGGTTTAAATCAATTCAGCGTAACACGAAATGCCTAGAGTCAAAAGCGAGATTGGTTCAATAGCATTCTGCATGTCAGGTAGGATGATCTATTCACCAGTAATGATGGAAAAGGGGATCTTTGTGCCTTAGCCTGATTCACTGAAGATTAAAACAAGGTTATTAAGTATGTGCTTTATAAGAACACGAAAAGAGTGCTGTAGGATGTTTTGCACTGGTCTAGTCTATAACATTAAAATCCCTCTCAAAACAAAACAAAACAAAGCCAAAGCCTTTTAAACTGTGAATGTGGGAAGGGTCAGAAAGAATAAGATCTGTGTGAAATACGAACAAAATGTAATTCCAAGTGTTATAAGAAATTTTTATCTTGTGACATGGTGAATGCAGTTGTTATCTTCTTACAGAATGGCAACCGTGGGCTGTACCTCCAGTGGGGAGCAGTGCATGCAGCAGGTCTCTTGACTCCCACTTCAGTGCCTTTTCCACCAAGGCAGAGGCACCTGACATTAAAACAGGGCTGAGGTTTCTGGGGTATTTAGATCTTTTATAAACAAGCTTAGTTCCAATTTCTATGTGTTAGTGAATGACAGCATCCACTTAATCATCATTTATTTTCTGTAAGGAGCTAATAACACACATCAAAATTCTGAGTCAACAGTGCTTGAATGTTGTCTGCACAGTATGCATTTTATGGGAGGCAAAAAAACCCCTAACCCGTACATTAAAACAGTCCTTGCTGCTAATGTTAGTACGCATTCAAAATGGGACAAATTTACCGCTCATGGTGAATCTTAGGTGAATCAGGAAGGTTAACAGCTGAGGGAGGGACTGATTTTGCTACTGCCAGGAGCCTCTACTCAAAGAGGGGAAAACCACATCTCCCAAGGATAAAAAAGGATTTTTGTAAACAAGCAGAATCATGCCAAGATATTTTTACTATTTGGAATTACAGTGTTGACTTGGGATGAAAGCTATTCTACCAGAAAAAAAATCATATTCTTGGACTGACTGTTGTCTCTAAACTGCAATATGAGGTCACTATCAAAACCCAAAGGATGAGTTTGAAGACCCAGCCCAAAGGTTTTCTGCATCACTCATCTGTGTACAAACCTTCTTCCACACTTTATATAAATGATTAGAAACCTCGCCAGCAGCCTTGGTACAGAGAAAAATAAACAGAGTGCTTCATTAAAAATGAAAAGAGAACCAGTCTGGAGAGCTGTGTTGGAACAATTATGTTCAAAGTCTCAGTTAACCCATCAGCAATTATCATTCAGAATCAAGACAATGTACGCAGAGCAAGGGACAGTACTGTCCCTAGCTGACATGACCTGTGTTAGAGATTTCTGGGTGCCCACAGCAGCCACCTCCAAGGCAGTGGTGGAGGACGCCCTGTAGTGCCTGTTGGGAGCCCATGTTTGCTGGCTGAGGCCCAGGGTAAAGACATCCTGTCTCCCTCCAGGGTCCTCTAAGCCCCCATTGGTCTCCAGCCCGGATCCTGGCTGGCGATGGCAGAATTCAGATGTCAGCAGCAGTGCTGTCGGGCTAGCATGAAACGTGGCCAAAAGCGTCCATAGCTTTCGGTTCCTTCCCATGGTTTCTGCAATGCAAGGAGCTCCTCTGCCTTACACCTCTGCATCTTCAGGAAAATTTATGATTGGTAAAGTAAGGAAAACAATATCTTTTGATAGGGATTTTATTTTTTCCAGAGGCATGTTTCCCTGAGTGTCCTGAAGGAAAGTGAATTTCATTTGTCTTTTGTTTGAATGCAGAACCAGTTTCTGAAATTGTATCATGCAGAACTTTCTGTTTTCAAACAAAGATGCTACAGCTCACTTAGACCTCTGTAGTCTCACCATTTCAGCAGTTTATGATAAGCAGTTAAGGATGCGAGGGATCTCATCTCAAAAACATGAAAAATTTTTAACATCTCAACTCTTTTTGAGGTTATTACTCAAGCACCTTCTATCCTGTCTCCCTCGTGTCACAATGATCTAAGATAAGTCTAGGGTTTATCACTATATGAATTTACTGCCCCAAGTTACAGCAGCAAGAACTTAATATAATGCGAACTTAAAATAATTATTTCCATTCAGATAATTATTGCCAGTCCCAAATTCCTATCCCACACCTTGAAATTTAAGGTATGCATTGTAAATTAACAAAATAATCCTAGTAGCTCAGTTCTAACTTTGACTCAAATAGTCGCAGGGATAATGGGTTTTACACCAAGCACAGGAAATTCAAGCTGAGGAGAATGGACTTCCTTAGGCTCCCGTCAAATTGGCTTTTTGTCACTGTTTTACAAAAGATCTGGTTACCTTTTCTGTTCCTTCCTCCTTGAGGCTAATAATGTCCAAATCAAAATCCTTCCTTAAGCCATCGGTTTTGTTGAAGGTTATGCGCCCTGTCAGGCCATCCCACCGTGCCTGTGTGAACACAAAAACACTCCTCCCTGTAATAATTAGTAGGAACAACTCAGAAGACATAGAAAACATTGCATTTTAAATTAACCATAGCATTGAATGACTTCCAAACAGTTTTTTCAAACATATATGGCTTTGTCAGATAAAAAAGTTTCTCCAACTCTTATGTCATCTGGGTTTTATTCAATATGTTTGTTTTCTTACAATCAGGCACAAGTTTGTGAAATTTTATATATATTTATTTACATATGTCTAGTGCTATATTTAAAAAGATATATTGAAAAGAGAGAGAGAATAAAATACGTATTACATGTGCCAGAATTCACTAAGAAATTAGGAAAGGAGTCTGCTTGGTCCAAGCTTTGAGTTGGAACCTTGGAGTATGACAGTCTAAATCCACCAGCCTTCCTGGGATGATCCTCTTTACTCCAGCCCGGTACCCTTTTAAGTTCTCCAAGACAAAAGGGTAAGAAATGGCAGTGAGTGCTGAATTGGGATCCCCAGAAGGTCCTTAATGAATGAAGGTAGCAAACCATCCCAAACCACCAAAGCTTTCTCAACACCTCAGTTGCACACTTCCTAGTCTCCTGTGACAGATGCTGCCTCTGCTACTCGGGGTGCAGAAACCCACATTTTTCCAGGAAGAGCTAAACGACAGAAGGGCTTTCATTATTCTTGCTTCATTTCTCAGCCAGGTTGTGGTAGAATGTTCCCCACCAGCACTGGGCTCCTAATGTCCCAGACTTTGCTGAATTGTTTCCTACTCCTTTTGCATCCCAAAGGAAGAAGACACAAGTTCCCAAGTAAGCAAAGGAGGTGTACGATTCCCAGTAGGAGCCCTGGCACTGTCTGTGCTCACAGGTGTTGATGGCACAATGACGGTGTCTCTAAAAGCAGGCTTTCAGAAAAAAATTCACCCAGTCACCTTGTAGTGTAAGGTACACACAAGTCTTCCATACATGTTTGAAGTACAGCATATGCATTGCGTATGATGGGTTTTGGTCCAGGTGGCATTTTTCTATTTCATCACAATTAACAGAAGTCACATTTTCCTTGTTTTAAATATTAGCATCAGGAGTAAGTTAAAGCAGTGGACTTTGTACATCAGCCTGTATAGTCATGATGACTCCCAGTGCTGGGGAACGCTTCTTCAGTGCAGCAGGATCCATGTCCAGAGCTAACTTTCACTGCAATTTGTTTTCTCTATCTTGTAATCTTCTCAGCAAACCCACTTCATTTTAAATGAGATCTGTCTCTCACATAGCCCCCATTTTGTCCCCAAAGCTGAAGCTTACCTATAAATGAAAGTATTTGATGGATTTCAAACTGCAGATGATTTTTATTATCTATTTTGGGGAACTCTAATATTAGATTAAATTGTTCAGAGACACAAGAAAGGCTGATGATAAATGATGGCACTGTTTCTTCATGTGTGTCATCCATATAATTCTTAAATTACAAGCTTTTCTACTGCACATTATTTGCTTCATTTAATTTGTTGTAGACAGATCACATAAGGAAAGCTGCATTAAAAATCATCTGATTTACAGAATGGTGTGTCCCCTTCCTATTAAATCTAAATTTTAACTCTGAAGCTGCAGGATTTAATCTCAGGTGCTGAGGTGTTATCACCATGTGTCTCAGCCAAATCTGGTGCATCTAGAGTTTTGTGGGAATACAGAAGATTTTTGAAGCATGCCCACGTAAAATATGAATGGCAAAGCACAAATGCAACAAATTTGCTATGAGACTTTACATTTTAATGGCACGGGAACATACAAAAATCTCAGCTGTAAACAGTGAAGCACTTGTGGATTTGTGTGCTGATGTAATTAAGATAGCAGGAAGGGATACATATGAATGCATTTCATTATAAAGTATCTCTTTTCCAGTCTGTCTTTTTATTACTCTGACATGACCCCCATCTCTTATTCATAAAGATGAAGCATTTTTAAAAATATGATCTTTAGAGATCAATTCCTCCTCAGAGGGCAATTTTCTGTGAAATGCTCACATTTATTGATTACATATCAGATGCCCAGCTTCTCTTTTAACATGATATGATCTTGAATAAAGGAACCAATATGTTATTTTTGAACATGGTGTCAGGAGCCTACATCTCCATTCCTGTAGAAAATATTTATATGGTGAAATGGTAGCTCACTTCTGAAAATCGGCATTGGTGCTTCTAACCCCACAGTAAAACAAAATTATAGGAAAAGATGTTACAAGCTGCATAGGTGTGTGCTGAAATTTCAAGGTAGCAGAGAAGTGCATATAGCCTTTGTCTAATTTAAATCCCACTTAGAGCATCAAATAATGACCCAAATGGGACTTAAATTCTGAACAGAAATTAGGGAGTGTTTGTCAGAACAGTTAAACTTAGATGTTGAAGAGTTTTTTCAAACCCTAATTGTGAAGCACATGCTTCAAATACCATTTGAATTTTAAACTTAATGTCTGATTTTTATTTTATTTATTCTAAGTAAACAGAAAACATTTGGGTCTTGAGTCCAGTGAGGACAATTTTATTTCTGACTTCAAGACAGTTGTGGTGCCTGTGTGTGCAGCACATCTACACAGACAGGTGACGTTTCTCTCCTGATCAGAAACAAAAGTTTTCCTTAAGAAACAAAGGGAGGGATGAGCTAGGAACCTACAGTCTGTCCCAGGCCTTCTGAAACCTATGCTAAAACTTTCAAGCTTTTAATGCAATTTGAGTCCTAAAGCACAACTGTCTGCTGTAGGCAAAGACAGTGGGATGTATCATTGCTCCGGAATCGTAGCTGTAGACCAACACTGCTGGGGGCCTGTCAGGTAAATCAGGGATGCAAGAGCCTACCAGTCGCCGTGTTCAGGCAAACAGAATAGGCAGCAGTTGCGCAGTTCCCAAATGCAATTAACGAACAGAAATGAAGCAGAACTTTTTGAATAGTCAGAAACCGCACGACTGTTTAGCACAGCAATGAGATTTCATGCTTTTATATGCAAGATTTATAGCAATTTTAATGTTTCTAGTGACACTCTGTGTTAAATGTTACAGGATATAATAAAAGTTGAATCGGAACCTAATCATGTAATTCATCAAAAGAAATTGCTTTTTTGCACTCTGTCCTTGCTTTAATATTAGAGGAACTAAAGGCACAATTCGAAACACTTAGGGAGAAAATGTATTTTCAATTTCGTCTGTATAATTTTGAGTAAAGCTTGCAGCTTAATTAAAAAAACGTGATTTGAAGTGGCTTTTGTTTGTAACGTCTTTTGCTTGTCTTAGCTCCCATGTTTGCAAGTTTGCAGGCTGGCTCTGACAACAGAATCGTGAGGAAATGTTCTTTTGGAGGTTTGCAGCAGTAGGGCAATGCAGTGTTCATATGAGGTTGACAATAAGGTCTCACATTCTTCACTACCATGTTTTATCAGATATTACTATTTCTAATTTGAAAACATTTAATGACCTTCTCCTGTTTATTAAACAAAAATGGGGAATTAATGTGATATATTGATTTCAAGTGGTAGCTGAGAAGCAAACCATACAGGACCAGCAGCTGCTCAGACCCTTTCTTAGTAAGCATGGAAAAGGTAGTGGATAGAACAGATTACAGACAAGTCTTCAGTCATCTTTGAAGGCTGTCAGGTACCTGACATGGCAAAATTATCCAAAGCAACCTAATCTAAACTGTGGAACTTTCTCTTTTTACTGCTTTAAAGAATTAAGATTGTGCGTAAAGTAAAAACTGAAATCTGGGGCTAAACATACAAATTACAATATTCGTTTTTGTATAAATATTCTGATGGAAAATTATAACAACTGGAAAAAGAAGCTGACTCAGCTTCTAAGAGCAAACACTCTAGAAGCTTGCTATCAATTCACACCACCATCATACGGTCTTTATATCAGTTTCCACTTCATCATCTTGAATCAATTTCTATAGCAGCCTTAGCTTCAGGCAAAGCCAATCAACAGTTCAATCACAGAATCAATTAGTTCAGCTGCTACCAGACTTACTAAAGTAAAAGAACAGGTACATTTCATATTCTGTTTCTTTTGTCTCTAGCAGACTTCACTTATATTTCCAGAGTTTTATTAGCAAGACATGACTAGCTCAAGAAATCATAATGAACAGTGTATATAATGCATTGACTGAGAAAATATTCAGCTTTATGATATAGACTCAATGGGATATGGCCAATTTTGTAGACACTGTATTGCACTAATGCACACAAAAATGGCAATCTTTCTCAGACAAATTGATTTCATTTTTATTATGTACTTGTTTTTCTTACTCAATATAATTTTACCCAAATATTTCAGTTAACCGTTTATCTACCTATGGTATATTTTCTCCTTCTGAGTTCATTGCCCCAGTGAGGGATTCTGGATAGCTGTGTTTCAGATTAGAAAACTTTAAATTTTTCAAGGTCTTTTTTAAATATTCAAAGTGCCCTGGCAATACAAAAAGTGCAAAGACATGATCTTATTATAAATTTCTGAACTATTATGCTTAATAATGTTTCAGAATGTGCAGTCATTTCCACTCTTCTAATAATATTCCACTTATTACAATAACCTGTGAAATAAAATAGTTTTTCTGAACCTGTTCTTTAGACCTCCATTTGTAATTAATCTAGCAATCTCTTTGGAGTGTCAAACTCATTTTAACTTTTTATTGTTCCCACTGTTCAAAAAATAAGACCCGCCATTTTGAACATATGTCCAGATTTAACACTACAAGAAAACATCTGAGACACAAAAATGCACCATCAAATGCAAATAAAACCATGACTATGTACCTTACAACATATACTGAATCTGCTTTAAATGGTATAAGGAGAAACGGCCATAACTTAACAAATTTTTAAAAGGAGTTGATAAAACTTCTGAGTGAAAAGCTAGAAAAAAAAGCTATTTTAACACAATATTGTGGTAGAAAATGAGCTGTTCTGTTGTTCAGCTTCAAAACCTTGCACAGTACCAGGTTCAAGCTTGCCTTTGTGCAAAATAT